CCACGTGTAAGTGTGCGACGAGCAATTTTTCATGAGAACTGTCATTCTTGATTGACCATAGTTGTATGTGTATGGCAATCATCAGTCATCAATCGAACTATCATTCATTACGATTGCCATTCTTTGATTGATAGTGTATGGCCCGCTTTAGGTATAAAAAGATTTTTTTCATATTGAACATAACTCTGCTGTAGAATTTGTGAATATGTGAATTTTGTATGGACAAATTTTTATTTGGTTTTTAGAAGTAATGATCAATCAATAACTAAATTAAAATAAAATTTCATTACATTATTGATACGCAAGTTACTTGACATGTTAAATAAAATTTTATGCTAGTAAATCATAATTCATGTAGCTAATTTGAAAGATAAAACTTGCTTATCCCAAACCACGTGTACTTAGCCAAAGTCCAAAGCTACAGGCACCATATCAAAACCTTTGCATATTATCTACGGCGAAATAAAAATATATTCATTAATATTAAGTTTTCCTTATTGCATAAAGTATCAATATAACTGTATTGATAATATAAGTTAATAATTAATTTACCTATTTATTAGACGTCTTACGACACATCATATTAAAAGACCATGTTCCACATACACATTATGAGAATTGTTACAATAATAGTTTTATATTTATTGAAAACAGTAATTTCGGTATTACAAATAATTAAAATTTTTATAAATTTTCCGTAATTAACTGACACTTAAATAGAATAACACATCCTGCGCGTTTACTTGAGTAACATAACATACATTTCCACAAGATAGGTTGCATCACGATTGAAACGAGTATACAAGTAAGATTATATTACATTAAATTGTTTTCTTATTAGTAAATTTTAAATTTCAGAGAATATCGATTGTGTTAAATCAGAGTGCACTATTTACCTGTAAGAAAATTGCTTCAATAATTTCGATGGAGTCGTATATCGGTAACAATCCGGGTTGTGTATATATAAATGATAACTCACAACATGTCACCTAAACTGTTATATTTTAAACCTGTCTGTTGATAAAGTCTTATGGGCAATAAACGCTGCGTATCTTTGAATTGGGACATCGTAAAAAAACAATTAGCTACCGGTTAGTTTAATCCTTGTATATTATACATATATTTTGATTCAAAAATTCGTAACTTTAAAATTAAATAACTAAGTAACGGATAAAGTTATATTAAAAATTCCAACGCCATTTATTATTAAAAAAAAAAAGTCTATTATTTTATTAAATTCAAAATATATGTTCTAACTTGAAAAATCAAAGTTGAGACCCTTAAAAGGCATAAGGGATGAACCTAAAAAATACTTCATAACGAATTAAAAGAGAATAACATGTAACTAAAAGTACCAAAAAAAAAATATTTCAAAATAATTTTTTTCTGCGAGTAATTGAGTAGGTTATGATAAAAAAATCACTCTGTATATAATTAACACAGTGACATACAACAATACTAACAGGAGGGCGGACTGCACACATAAACACTTTTGCAATTCACGGCCAATGTGCTATAATAATATATCTCTACGACAGTTGACCTTTAACCATCCTCGCGACCACTACTCTTATCTGATAATTAACTATTCTACCACATATATAGTGTGTGTGTTGCCGTCAGCTCCCTGTTGGATTATATCATCTCTAAGTGTCCAGCAGGTTGTATTATCTATTTAATATTTCAATCACTTACTAAATATTTATTTATATCGTTGTTAACCAAGAGTGTTATATAAATATATATATTGCAGTGCGACCCTTGGTAGTTCCTCTATGGAATATAAATGAAATAGGAAATCTCAGTACCTAAGGTAGATATAGCCTAGCCATCTATCAACAGAATACTGTTGACGGGCATTTAGGCTCAACCCCTAAATAGCGACGTAACAAAGCGTTCCAAATTCACATTCAACAACAAAACAAAATGTCTAAAACAGCTAATATTCATAATATGGATTTCAGTAAAATCCAAACGCATCACGCATAGAATCCAAATCAAATTTTCTTTCTAGACTTTACAAATTATTCACCTCTCAAAATCAAAAACATCGAATGTCAGGTATACCTACTTTGTACACCTCAGAATCCAACATTACTATTGGATTTTAACAAAACCACTCGACCCTGAAAAGAAATCCTTAACCATCCTTAACAAATATCACATTTTCAATAGCTATAAACACCAATATAAGTCAACCCCTCTAATAATAAAAAAAAAAGAAAAACAACTCAAAAAAGGCCTAAGGATTCGTAAAAAACTGCAACAATCCCTTAGCCAATTAGTTGCGTTAAAACTACTCGCGCCTAAACTTATATAAAAATTATACACTACACCAAGATTTCATCAAGCAGAATCAAAATCCGTAAGTAAATATTTAATTAATCAACTTTCTATCATATAAAAATAAAAAATATAATCACCAATATGGTTCACTCGTGTGGTCAAACATATGAAATAAAAACGTGGTGGTCAACAAAAAACATTACATGTACCAAGGAAACTCTATGTTATAAATGCAAAATACAACGAATTAGGTACTAAAACTATCATTTAATAGATAATCAAAATATTTGGGAAATAGATGTAAAAAATTATTTTAAAAACAGACCAATTGCTTGGATAAGTGAGCAACTTGCTCACTACTCAAAGTATGATGTAGAATTTCAATTAAGATTGGCTTACAACCAAACACATCGGGTAGGCATGTGCAGTGATTGGACCACGTCGAATGGTTGAGAATAATAGCTAACAAAAGTGTAAAAATGTCACCAAAGAGAATCATCACAAATTATTGGATTAATTTAATTTACATAGTTTTAGCTTCGATGCGAACCTTTTCAGGAAGTCTGAGTCCTGGCTCGAAAATTGTTTATATAAATTAAATGATTACTATTATCCTATCAACCGCCCGGTCGGGACATCTAATGCCCACTTGCAATAAGTATTTCAAATAAACATAAGTACCGGTCAAAAAAGATGGGAAATAGGGTTTCAAAAAAAAAAACAATTTTCATTTTAATTTAATTTTTCTTATTTGCTTCATAATTAAATAGCCTGTGAAAAACAAAATGGATTATATTAATTTTTTCTGGTATCAGGACTGAAAGGGTTAATTTTAGTATGTTTTTTTTTTTTTTATGTCTGTTGGCACTTTTTTTCAGCTCTCACCGAACCGATTTCTTTCAACAATACGTCAAAAGATCACAAATCGTATCTAGATGAAAATATTACATTTAAAAATTGAAAAATTTTCCCTCGTTCCCTGCAAATGGGGGATATCTCCAAAAAATTACAATTTTTAAAATCGATAAATTTTGTCATTTTTTTCACTTTTTTTTTTTAAACTTCCATAACTTTTTCAAAAATCAACAAATTAACATAATTTTTTTTAATATTAAAACCTTAGATATTTCCCTTTCATTCGAAATCATTTTTTTGAAAATCTAACACTTAACCTGCTCACAGGGAGGGATTTAAAATAGTAATTCTTATACAAAAATAAACTTTTTCAACTTAACTTTTGAAAATGTTCCGGAAATACTGCGTCCTTTAAACATATACCAAATGAAAGCTTATGTCATGTACTATAAAATGAAAAAAAAAATTGTCCCGACACCTTATAGTCAATAAGTAAATTGCCACCGAAATTATTAAAAAAATGTAATATTTGCAAAAAAAATCATCTCCTATCGTGATGTTTTTTTGTATTTAAAACTACTATAACTTATGGAAATATTAACTAATATTTTTTTTTTATTGAAACCTTAGGTAATTTCCTTTTATTTGATATCATTTTTTTTGAAAATCTAAGACTTATTCTACTCACATGGAGGGATTTAAAATAACAAGAAAATAAAAATTTTTTCTCTATATTAGGTATACTAAATAACTAACTAACTATATACTAACTTGTAAGAAATAATAAAAAAATTTAATTACAATTGATATTGAAATTTTAGTACTCAACTTAATACCATTTAAAATATTTGCATCTTTGTTGGTTTGCGTATCGATTAGGAACCGGACATTTTTCAATCGTGCACATTTAACTTTACTCGATATTTGTCGTTTTGTAAATTTGTGGACAATGAACTGTCCTTCGATAGAAATCCAGATGCAATTGCGAATGGCGAATCACACAACTGTAGATTGGTCGTCATTTTGTCGAGAGGTTGTGTTTGATACAATGGTAGTACATAAAAAAAAGTTAGGGGGGCCCGGAAAAACGGTTGAAATCGATGAGTTGAAATTTGGACGCAGCAAATACCATTGTGGTCACCGGGTAGAAGGGCAGTGGGTTTTCGGCGGCTATGAACGTGAGAGCGGCGAATGCTTCTTTATTCCCGTCGAAAATCGCACTGCGATTACTTTAGTAGCATTGATAGAAGATTGGATATTACCAGGCACAACAATAATATACGACTGTTGGAAAGTATGCTAATTAAAAAAAAAAAATTAAATGCCACGTCCCCACTGTGNTGTAGAAAGTATGCTAATTAAAAAAAAAAAATTAAATGCCACGTCCCCACTGTGCTGGGTTTTTTTATTGAAATTTGGCGCTGTCACAGATTTTCTGAAATTCCAATTTTAGATAAATATTATGACGTAAAAATACAAAACGACAACACTAACAACTCGGTTGATGAGGATGACATTTGGTATTTAGATTCACAACGTAACTTTAAAAAAAGTCATCCTCAAATAGATAGTTCCAGCATTAATTACTATCCTTATAAATTTGTAAAAAATTAAGACTTTAATAATACTATAAAATATATTAAAAATTGTTTTGAGGATCAATATCCCAAACACCATAGTTATTTTCCTGAAGTCACAGTCATTCCTGAAGAAGAATGATAAAAAACGTTATTTTTAAATATAATTTTAGATTTAAAAAAAAATTTTTATTCAATAAAAATCAATTCATCACTTTCAAATTGACAAATAACAAAATATTAAATTATTGTAGACAATTTCCTAGGTTTAGAGCATCAAAAATGTCTCTCATCACAGACACATCACTATACAATGACGAAACCATCAATCGCTTCATGAAACTATTAATGAAGAGAAATGAAGACAGAATTTTTGCTTTCGACACCTTCTTCATTCCTGAGATTAATAGAAGAGAACTCGACACCATCAACACAAGATTCAAGGAAAATCTTCTCTTAAAAACCACGGCACTAGCTCCAATACATATAAACAACAATCACTGGATCATAGCAGTGGATGACATACAACAACACGAAATAATCTGCTATGACAGCCTGGATTGTCATGATATAAAGGAAATAACAAAGTTCCGACAGTTCATGATAAGACATGAACTACGTATGAGTGGATCTAAATCCATGTGGCCAATATTCAGAGGAGAGACTACAATTCAAGAAAACAACTATGATTGCGGACCATGGATTCTGGAAATTGCTGTGCCATGGAGTCAAAGGAGGCCAAAGAAACTCGTTTGCATAAAGTGCGTCAGCACATGGCTGAAAGCCGAGCCTCGGAATCGGAGCAGGCCAGAGAAGCTCGTTTGCAGCAAATGCAGCAACGAAATGCTGAGTCCATGGGATTAAGTAGAGCCATTATGACGGGCTTCAGGCAGACAATTAAGACATTTTGTGATAAGATATATGAAATTTGCACTATCAACATCAAATATCTAAGTGGATTGTAGATACTATAACATTTGTCTGACGAATTAAAACAAAACAATTGCTTGGTTGTGTAGTNGCACCACATTTGTCTGACGAATTAAAACAAAACAATTGCTTGGTTGTGTAGTAAATAGCTGAATAACGTCGATTTTAGTATAATACGGGGTTTAAAAAAATAGTAAGCAATTTTTTAATTCTCAAGCAATACAATAATGTCATATAGAAGGGAAATGCAGGGTAAGCAAATTAATAATGGTGAGAAAAAGAATATAAAAGAGAAATATGAAAAGGATAAAGGGCTGGACGTTTTTGACAAAGAAACGTCGAGTGATGGGTCAGGAGGTTGGACGCGAGTATCTTTGTACGATTTAATTTTGTTTTGTGTTATATTTTAATATTACTTTTTAACTATTTTTAAATGTTTAATTCGCTTCTTAAATAAAATAACTATTTAAAAACTGGACTTAGCGTAAATAATTTATATTCACCGTGTTCTTAGAATTTGTGCGTGTGTGTGCGGTTAGAGTCAAGGTTGGACTTCTGGTCCTTTAGTCAATCTTAATAATTAGTGTACGAGCTGGCTAGTTTTTGGGCTTAACCGTCCTTTAGTGGGTATAGTAAAAAGGTAGTTGTGCTGATGGCTGACAAGCCACCCTTCAGTCTGCTACTTTTGAGCTAGACTGTGCTGACGGGTCAAAACTCTACCCCTTTAGTAGTTTACTAATTAGAGGGATTGGGGCTGATCAGTTTATACAACAGGACTCGAGAAGAGCTTGAACGACGAACTCATCATCAATATATATATATATAAAACATTAATTAATTTGTGTAAAACTTTTGTGTCTACGTTGGTGCACGTACGACAGTTGTTTGCAATTGTTCCAAGACACAATGGACTTCAAAAAAAAAAATGTTGCACCATCTAAGTCTTATTGGAATAATCTGGATCCAGGCTCTATTCTAAGAGTGATTGCGGAGTTATCACCAGCGGAGCAGAGGTTGATTTCACGCATTATACCATTTGTTAAAATTGTAAAACTTAGCAGTGTATTTGAGTAATATAGTTTTCGAGGTCAAGCAATATTGTTCTCTCAGGATGTTTACGAAGTTACTGAAAATCTTTCGAAGATGTTACCAAGATCCACAAGTAATACTGGAATAGTTATCATTACTGAGCGTCTTGAAAATATTAACGTTACACGACAGTTTTCAGTATCTAGACAAAAAGTATATGACGCACTCCATTGGTTAGTTGCTAACAATCCACTTTACAAAGACATCGCTATCGATCAAAACGTCGTAATAAGTGATGAGGATATCATAAGAGTAGAAAAAACACCACTAGAAGTAACTGAGGAGCCTAGTGAAGAACCTACTGAGGAAACTAGTGCTTACATGAACATCAGCGACATTACGAGAATTGTACGTGCTTCATATGGCATCAAGGAAACGATGCCATATTTCCATCAGGATATGCAGGCGTACAATGCTGTGCGATGGCATTGTCCAACATTCTAAGAGCTAGTATTCTTACATCACAACACTGGTCGACAAACACTCTCAATCTGAATATGATAACAGGTGACCAAATCTACAGCGAAATAAGATTTCAAACGGAGAGAAGTCTATCGGCATATATTAAAGATGATGGATACCTACTGATGCGAAATTTCAATGCGGTCAAAGATGATTTGATCACATTTGGCAAAAGATTTGAGATCACCTTTGATGATGAACCAAGCATATATGGAAGTTTGAATGATCGCGAGCCCAGCCTGATTAGAGTATCCCCGCTTTCTAGCTAGGGTGCAAAGTCTATCTACTGGAGCACGGTCGACCACCGAGCGCCGGCGGTGAACGATCTACCTTGCCTTCGACGTCCTACACGAACTAACGCTACCCGCTTTTTCTTCTCGCGACGTACTTACTTGTAAGGTACTTGTTTTCTTTTTGTATATATATTGCTATTGCACTAGTATAGTATTTTATTTTGCTGTTTAATTTTAAGTAAATAATTATTTATATATATATATAATATATATATAAAATAAGGATATATATATTATATATATCCTTATTTAACATTCTCTTGTTTTATTTTTTTTTTTTTAATAAGGACGAGGATCCTAGTGGGTACTTCCAAAACTACTGGCCTACATGTCCACACATTTTTGTTTTTTTATTAATCGACACGGGCGGATTTGAACCTCGTACCCTAATCGTAAAAGACACAAGTGTTACCGATTCGACAACTGTTCGTTGCTTTACTAATGAACCGACGCCGGCCGACGGATATCTTAGTTTTGTTAACGTTGAATTATTCCTTAACGGCCAGAGTTTCGACCACTGCAACTTACGCATAGTCGACTCGCTTGAAAGACGATCAATCGTCCAGTCATACGTTGGCTCTTATGTTTTAAGTAGCAATACTTAATTTTATTCATTAATTTTGTTTTGTTATTTATTTATTTTAAATCAAATTTGACAACTAATTCTTTATTTTATGTTTTATTTTCTATTTATTTTTGTTTTCTAAATGAACTATGTTAATTTATTTTATTTTGTGTCACTCGACACATATACCCTTAGTGGGTATTATGTAACTCTTTATATTTTTATTTTTACTTGTATATATTTTCTTTACGATCAAGTCGATCGTGTGGACATGTAGGCCAGTAGTTTTGGAAGTACCCACTACGATCCTCGTCCTTATTTAAAAAAATAAAATACTATACTAGTGCAATAGCAATATATATAAAAAAAGGAAACAAATACCTTACAAGTACGTCGCGAGAAGAAAAGGCGGGTAGCGTTAGTTCGCGTAGGACGTCGAAGTCAAAGTAGATCGTTCACCGTTGGTGCTCGGTGGTCGACCGCGCTCCAGTAGATAGACTTTGCACCCTAGCTAGATAGCGGGGGTACTTTTAATCAGGCTGGGCTCGCGATGTAATAGGGCGGCTGATGGAAGAGACGAGGTGACCGTGTATTAAACGTATCGCAAAATATACGGTACCGTGTCAAGCATAAATGTACAGTATACTCTTGATTACGTTGACGTCGAAGTCATTGATATAGATAATGATCCTGAGAAAACAGAAATAACTCGTGTCTCTCTCTAGATATCAGCCGTCCAGCTATTAACATCGATTGTCTCCCCGCCCTTTACACCGAGATAAGGCCGCGCTAAGTATGGATTACGGATATTGCGTTCTGTTCCGTTTCCGACGTTAACCTTGACTGGTTGTTGCGTTTTCTTTTTTTTTTCTTTTAACACTCGATTATTATTTTTCTTGTGGTTTTGCGACTTTAATGTGAATATTAGCTCGTATTGTACTGACGTGATATAGAATTATACCTTATGTGCGAAGGTATATTTGAAGTTTATAAATATATATACACGGACGTATACATAGATTTACCTATCTTATCGCTGTGACTAGTACCGTGATAAATCTTCCTATACATATATAATACGTATATACACACATATATATATACAATTCATAGTGTGTGGCGTTCTACCGTATACTGGATACGCGATAACTTGCTCCCCGAACAGGAATTCAAACCGGCCGAGTGAAGTTAAGGTAAGAGGCTTTGGGCTGATTCAGTTTAATTATTCTAATTATATTAGATTTTAGTTTTAACTTGGAACAGTGAAGTCTCCCTTATAAATTTTATTGTTCATATAGTTATTTGAACGAATTTTACTGGTGACAACAGTGAATTTTTACCTGGGTTATTCACGGTTACGTGTTAACGGGATTAGATTTAGTCTGGTATCTGGAATTTTTTTTTTTTTTTTAATTAAGTTAGAGCAGTTTATCTAATATAATCCGCCGTACGTATTATCGTTGAAAAGTGTTGGTTACAGTTTGTTATTTCTTACTGGATTACGTGATAACTGAAAGCAGAAGAATTTGCCTGGTGGTATGTCTTATTTCCTTATGGAAAAAACGGTTTTAAAGAGCAAAGCCCGTAAATATTACAGCATTAGACTACTTTCACTTTAGAATTTTGGGAAGTGATACGAGATTTCAACGCAACGACTATCTCATTTATGCCTTATCCTTTTTTGAATATTATCGTATCAAAAGCACAATATCAGCATGTGGTAAGAAAATCGTTAATCAAGAAGGAGCAGTCGAAGACGTCCATCCGTATATAAAAAATTTGAGAGGTTCTGCACTTATTGGATATCAGCCTTGAACGAGCTATTAGCTCAAATCAAATGTTTAGGAGCTCCAACCCACTTTGTAACATTTAGCTCAAATGATCTTAACTGGTTAAATCAACTAAAAGCTTTGTTAATAGTTAATGGTAGACCTGATGTCGATCCTAATACGCTCGAAATTTATAAGGTTCAAAGACTTATTGAAAGTACCCAGTAATTTTGAGTCGACATATTTCATGGTTACAGTAAATGCTCTAATGAAATTTATCAAAAACAATGATGACATATTTTGCGGCAAAGTGAAAGACCATTGGTGGCGTATTGAGTTCCAGAATCAGGGCAGTCCTCACCTTCATGTGGTGATTTGGATTGAAAATCATCCAAAGTTTGACTCAGAAGAAGGGAAACTTCTTCTCGATCGTATCTGTTGTTGTAGAATGCCTACAGAAGAAGAAGATCCAGAGCTTCACGATCTAGTTAAAAAATGTCAAATTCATCGGCATACACATATTTGTACAAAGAATAATACTTCTGTAAGATGCCGATTTAACTTTTCACGTCAAGAATGTATCGAAACACGAATTGTGTCTCATTCTTCAGATGATTTTCTTCGTAACGGAGGTAGAATTTGTTTACTTAAGCGTCGAAAGGAAGATGCGTGGGTAAATAATTACCACCCAGAATTATTAAGATTATGGACAGGCAACATAGATATTCAGCCGTGCGGATCAAACGAAGCGATAGC